ACCATGGCTATTAGGTTGGACGCCATGGCTAGTAGGGTGGAGGCCATCGCTAGTAGGTTCCTTTTGCTACTGGGTTGCTCTGGGAGCTCTTTCAGACTATGCTGTCCCAATCACCCTCGATCGATCGTCCTCGATCGATCGGAATCGATCGCCCACACTCGCCTCGAGAAACTGCCCCCCAGGTCTGGTTCATGATTTGGGCCTCTTTGTCGACGTTCTTTGATAGTCCTGCTGGTCATGGCTAGTCAGTTTATAATCTATAATATATAAAGATATAAAAAGAAAGAATCTATAATATAGACTCAACATGGCGCAACAGTTTTCAACTTGATCCATTCAATCCGAGATGACTTTCCAAGAGCTTTCAAAACCTTCCTGTCCTGCACAAGAAAAGAAGTCTCCATCGAATCCTGTGCAGAAATGATCAGCCTGGCACGCGGCAAACCAGGCATCGCCTTAGCGTTCTCAGGCACAGTGTGGCAAAGGAATCTGGAGGCCAATGCTATTAGTTTGGAGGCCATCGCTTCTAGGAGCAAAGGGCATCGCTACTAGGAGCAAGAAGCTCTTAGGTTGGAGGCCATCGCTTCTAGTTGCCCACATTCTGCTGGGCTGTGCACAATATGAGGCCTTGATCGGCATTTGATGCAGCTCCCAGGTGTTATGACTACCTCAGCCAGGTTTGAACACGCGCGAACATGGAACTCTTGCTCACTCTCTTGCTCTTCTTCTAGTGTGGTGACACGAGGTGACAAATGACTTTGGCGCCCCATGGCCTGAAGGCCATGGGAAGACGGGGTGGCCTATGACGGTGGTCTAAAAAACACCTCAAACATGTCAGGTGATGCACAGATTTCAATCTTGTTACTAGTAGCTTCTTGTTACTAGTAGTAAATGCTCTTAGTAGCGATGCCAGGAGCCCCTAGTAGCGTCCTTGGTCCTAGTAGCGATGCCCTTTGTTACTCACAAGAATTTTCCAAGATCTCTAGCATCTCGAGATCTTCCACCACTGACTGTGAACACTCGGACAGGCAGCACCAAGCTGCATAGTTTACTGGCAGCGTACATTGCATTGTAGTGGCCACTTTGGGCATCACAGCGAGGATCATAAAAGCTGGAGTTGTATTTACCTCGTGAAGCTTTGCGCGTGAAAAGAGTTCAAGAGGACTTGAAAAAGGGCTGAGTAAACAAAACCTTGAAGGATTGGAGCACAAAATGCAATATGGGACGTCCGACTCGGCGTTCCTTGCCAAGTGCAATATGGACATGTCACGCCAAAAACATCTGGATGGAACCCAAGACATGAAATAAGCTACGCTCGTCATGCATGGCTCCTCATTCTTCAAAACCACGCACAGTTCACACCAATTCGCACCTGTTCAAACCTGTCACAGCCACTTCCCAGCCAAGGCTGCGATAGAAAGCCACATTGGGATCACATTCCTCAGGTTTCACGCTCAAGCGGATCGTCTCCGCTTGGTGTCTGGTGCTCATGAATGTCCAAACGAAACAAGTGTGTCGTTGTTAAAGCCGTCCTTGGTTTTCATTGTTAGTTTTTGGAATCTGTGTGCACAACTGTGACTCACAAGGCCTGCCTTCCTCCATCAACCGCTGCGAGCATAAAAAAAAAGGACAAGCAACTAGGTGCTATCATTCTATCAGCATATATCAGCATAGAGTTTTCGTATTGGTAGGCTTCGCACGCCATGCCCTAAAAGTCCGCAACAGCTTGAACGTTTCCGCTTTCACTTTGAATGTTCTCAACTTGACGCTAGCTGCTGAGAAGACTCATAAAAACACGCCTTGGAACATGGCACAGCTGCAAGTATGGACTTAGGAACATGAAAAACAAGCGGGAGCCGTGCTTGGAAACATGCGACAGTCGTGCCATGTCGAAGACAACAAACACAGGACAACATCGAAGGTCACTTGCTCCAGTTCACCAGATGCCTCTTGAACGAAGAAGCGCTCGCACTCTTGCGACAGTGGGCCGCACCGATCCCAATGGAATAGATTCTTAGCTGCGTTTCATGCTGCAGGTGCTGCGTTCCAATGCGTTTCATGTGCTCTTTCACTCAAACAACGCGTGAGTCAAGTATGAAAGAGCATTGACAGTCGCATTTGAATCGAAACATGAACTGCGAAACATCTCTGTCGCATTGAAACGCCTTGAAACATGAAACATTGACAGTCACGCTCTTTCATGTCATGTCATGTGAGTCATGAATTGATGACATGAATGCAAATGATCTCAGCAAGTCTGACTTGACTAGCCTTGACAGCATGGTACACTCTGTCGGCCAACTGCGCTCTTTTTCCTTTTGAGTAAAATTGGATCCAGGATTATGTGCTCGATTGGCACAGAACTTGAGTGATCGAGTGGCCACTTGTCCCATCTTGTCCCTCATAGTCACGCAGACTTGTGTGCGACGATCAGCTTGGTCATGCCTTGAATCATCTCATGTGCCTCACACTTCTCCTGCTCAAAGCCGGCTTGACCCATGCGCTGGATGATCTCGGCTGGGCACAGCCCAAGTCCATGTGCGTTCACGGTCACATGTTGAAGGCCCCAAAGCGCTCCTAGCGCCGGGCCATCCAAGCTGTCATTGACCATGAAGTCATGAACAAGGAGGCGACCACCGGGACGCAAGGCCTTGAATGCATTCTTGTAGAGTGGCAGGATAACGCTCTCGGGAACAGAGCCACTGATGTAGGACATGAGCACGATGTCAAAGCTGGCGTTGCTGACTGGCCAGTCTGGACTTGTCGCATCCAGCTCCACAAAGTTCACTCTGTCTTGGATGTCCTGCGACTGCTGCGTTTTGATGCTTTCCCCTGTTCGGCACACCTCTGGCAACTCCAAGACGGTGGACTTGAGGCCGGGCGTGGCCTCTGTGAAGACATAAGAGAAAGCTCCTGAGCCACCTCCGACATCAAGCATGGACTCAATTCCTCCAAGTTGCAGCTTCTTCTTCACCAAGTACTTGGCCGTTGCCACTGATCCATTGTGCTGAGCTTGCGTGTAGGTCTTTGCCACCTCCGGGTCAGAAAACCATGACGCATAGCTTGGAGCCTTTCCGGTCCTCATGACTTCTGGAAGTGCTCCCATCCGGTGGTAGAACTGCCGGCCAATTTGGTACAGCAAATAGTCTCCATAGTATTGCTTGGAGCTGGTGACCATGAACTTGGCCGTGTTTGGGGACAAAGTGTACGAACCATCAGCCCCGCGGCGGATGCACTTCACAGCCGTGAGTGCTGTGAGGAGTGTGGTCATGCGTGGACCCTCTACTCCACACTCTGTTTGCAAAACTTGGGCCGAACAACCCTTCTCTCCAGCAGCTGCTATCTTGTCGAAGACTCCAACCTCTAGACCAGTGAAGAGAGCCTGAGATGCCATGAAGCCGTACGCCACACTGTCCAGGTCCACATCGTCACCAGACTCCCAGCTATTTCGAGAGAATCTTCTGACACTATGACCATACAGCTGTGGTGCGAATCCACGTGGGAAGCTCCCTGCTGTGGTGAGCCCCACTCGGCCAAGGGCTCTTCGAGCGCATGTGGCAACTTTGAAAGCCATGCTGCGCTGCTTCCACTCCCTTCTGCAATCTACAAGGCTGGCCGGCTTGAGCCACTCTGAACTCTCCAGGAAAGTCTGAAATGATATGACATGTCATTTCAAATGCAATCTGAACTCTGCTGCGAGGCTCGCATGGATGCTACTGCCAAGAGTCTCCAAAGCTTGCCTTCAAAGCATCCAGTGATGATACCTGAGACTCATAGGGAGAGCCAATGGCACGAGGACATGAACATTCACCAGGTCGACAATTGATGATAATCACTCGCACAAACAAAAATTCGCAGGCCTTTCCCTCAGCTCTTGGATGTCAAGCCTTCCGTAGAACAAACCCATTCAACAAACCTGCCTAGGGGAGCCGTGTGTTTACTACAATGCTCTGGGACAAGAAGGTTCATTCTTCCACTGCTTTACTGCCACTTCTCAATTATGAAGGACCAGCGTGAGTATTGAACGTTTTCGACCAAACGTGGAACACAAATCGAATTTGCAAATTAGAGCCTTAACGGTCCCGCCCAGCTGCCATCTCCCGGCGACAGCAGGAGTTGAATCTCCATGGGTGACATTCTGACACCTCGGCAAAAATCGCAAACAACATGACATTTTGTGATGACGCTATTAGGTTGGAGGCCATCTCTAGTCGCTGGTGCTTGAGTCAGTCTGCCATGAGACTTCAGCTGATGGGACATGATGGGACAACCGCTACAAGAGCTATTCATCGATGTTTCATCGCTATTCCTTGCTCCTAGTAGCTACTTGCTCCTTGTAGTACGGCCAGGAGCCCCTAGTAGCGTCCTTGCTCCTAGTAGCGCTGCCAGGAGCCCCTAGTAGCGTTCTTGCTCCTAGCATTCTACGTTGCGCGGTGTCACCGCTATTCATCGAGAGAGGGACTGCTGATTGCATGTCTGTCTAGTCGGGTTGGGGTTGCTTCGGCACTGCCAGGAAACCATCGTAGGCTCTGGCCCGGGTTCATCCTCACAAACCACAGGAGCAAGGACGCTACTAGTAGCTCCTGGCATTATCACTAGGAACAAGAAGCTACTAGGGGCTTCTGGCATCGCTACTAGGAGCAAGAATGCTATTAGGAGCTCCTGGCCTTACGACTAGTAACAAGGGACGGTACTAGTAACAAAGAGCATCGCTACTAGGAGCAAGGACGTTACTAGGAGCTCCTGGCGTTACCACAAGCATCAAGAACTCTGGCCGTAACATCTTAGACATCACTACCCCTCACTAGATACCCTCATTGCTATAGTCGCAATGATGTGGCCACCACATATGGGTGCCTTGAAAGATGCCAAAAGCAAGAACATGCTTCTTGGCGCTTCAAGAAGAACGCCCAAGAACGCGTTAAGAGCTCTTTTGCTTTAACAAAATGATACAAAATGAGAACATGTCATTCTGGTCCTTGTGCTGATGAAGGTGACAGAACTCAGCCTTGCTCCGTCCCAACTCTGCCGAGGTCAGGTCGTTGGGGTTCTCAGAATCGAAGAACCACATGGTGTAGCCGTGAGTCTCCTGGGACGCAGCAGAGAGCCCACAGCCATGCTTTCGAACGAAACAAAGCCCCCATAGAATTCCATAAGGACCGACCCCAATGTCACTTGAATAGCTTGCTTATGCTCAAAATGACATCATGCCACTTCCCATATCAATCTCACGGCAAACTGGATTAAGCAAAAAGCAGTGCTTTCAGGCCCGAGTGTTCCATAAACGTTTTGCGGAAACACTGCTGATATGTTTCTGTGGTATGAAACCCCGTTGAACTTAACCAGTTCAACATCCAGAGATTTAAATGCCTACTTGCGGTGTGTGGACAATTGTGCTCACGAACCTGTTCAATCACACCTCCCATCTCACCCCTGAGGCCGTCATTCGGCTCGTACCGGAAGGCCGTGCCCCACATCTTCTCACATAGCTCCTTGCGGCGGGCGATTGGCCTTCGTATACCGAGTTGATATTACCTTCTCACCAAGACATCGGTTGGCGTGCTCACACATGGCAGGTTCTGCCACGTCGTCATCGGCTGGCAGAATTTGTGCAAACAAACCAGCAAACGTGTCCTGACCAGATGCATAGATGTGGTCTATCCGCCGGCAATTCCTTAGCGCTCTAAAGGCCAGGCATCGCCAAAAAGCCGTCCCTGGACCACTACTCGACTATATGCATGCTAGTAGGGTGGATCCATTGCCTTTAGGGTAAGTCCTAGTAGCGATGGCCTCCACCCTAATAGCGATGGCCTCCAACCTAATAGGAATGGCCTCCAACCTACTAGCGATTGGGTTGGAGGTCGCACTCCATAATGGCCCCAAGTCACTGGGCAGTTGTCTGGTAGTAGGCCCAAGCTGGTGGCAGTAGCACACTCAAACCCAGGGCCGGCTTGCACCATGCCATGGCGTGAGCGGCCGCTCACAGTGCATGCAAACTCAGCAGGCAGGTTAGCTTTTGCAGGGTGGGTTTTTAAGTGGTTTGGTTCAGGAAGGTCCGCTCTCAACACAAAATATTTGATAATTAGCAGCATGGTTAGGTTCGCAGCAGCTGAGAATAATTTGCAGCATGGTATAGGTTCGCAGCAGCTGAGACAGCGGACCTCAAGGAGCACCAATAGGCACTTGTGGCTCACTCCTTGCCAATGAGAGCGTTCAAGGCACAAGTGGTTCTGGTGACTGCTTATCCAGCTGAGGTTGTCAACATTCGTTTATATCTGCTAATTGCCGGTGCCTCTTTCTTCGTCAGCCAAATTGAAAGCGGGTTCAACACTACTGCAAAGCCATTGAAGTCTTGCGCGGAGCTTTATATTGCAGACTGCAGCTGCGATGAATCGCAAGGATCTATCTTTCTGGGCCAGATAGGCACAGCAAGAATGCACAAAGTAGCAGTGAGCCTGCACATGTGCAATGAACTGCATCCCCTTCACAAGCTTGGCTCTTCCCACGCAAACCCATTAATTAAGCCAGGTAGGCTTCAAAAGCCTTGACAGTTTCTAGAGTCCTTCCCGTTTGCTCTACTGGGATTCCAGTAGGGCATCCCTTAGCAGGCGCAAATCGAACACGTTTGGAGTGCATCCTTCCGTCCTTCCTAAATACATTCAATTTATTGCACGGGCCTTCGTAAAACTGGAAACCGGCGTTGCCATGCTTTCACCAATGGAAAGTTCATTCATTAAGTTCTGCCATTAGCAAGCTGGAGGCTGTAAAGGAATTCGCGACAATCCTGGCACTAAATCTTGATAGGGGTTGACAGTGCCAAAACACAGAATTGCACACTTGACGCACTTCCCGTGCCTTATCCGTTGGTTGTCTTGCTGCCGCAGCATTTGCAAGGCCTTCGAGTTTAGCTTTGGCAAAGTGATCCAGGCTAGAAAAGCTAAAGGTTTAGATTTTAGATTTGGTGAACACTGATTTATGGCCTCGACCCTGGAAGCCCTTGTGCTTGGTACGCGCAGCCAAAGGTTGGGTTCACAGCGCCCACTGCATGGTTGAATCTTAATGTTGAAAAAGCTCCTAGTAGCTTCTTGTTCCTAGTAGTAACAAGTGCATCGCTAGTAGTAACAAGTGCCTTGCTAGTAGTGACAAGAAGCTAGTAGAAACAATAAGCTAATAGCTTCTTGTTCCTAGTAGTAAGGCCAGGAGCCCCTAGTAGCGTCCTTGCTCCTAGCAGCGATGCCAGGAGCCCCTAGTAGCTTCTTGCTCCTAGTAGCGATGCCAGGAGCCCCTAGTAGCTTCTTGCTCCTAGTAGCCGTTTCTTTGGTGCATGAGCAATCTCTGTCACCGGATCTCGTCTTCACTGGCAAGAATGAGCTCCAAACCCACGACCACTGTGTTGTCGACTCACAGGCATTGACCTGATGGAGCACTGGGTCCAGGCCCCTCGACACCCCCAAAATCCTTGGACCAAGCGTGTCTTTTGCTTTGAGACCATCTTTCTTTGTATAGATGCTTTTGTTATTCTCTCTTTTTCCCGAATGCGTAGCGAAGGGTTCCCGTTTATAGTTGGGGGTCTGGGGGTTGGAGCTGTGTTTGCTTGGCTTGCGTCGTCTCGTCGTCTGTCGTCGTCTGTCGTCGTCTGTCGTCGTCTCTCGTCGTTTGTCGTCGTTTGTCGTCGTCGTTGCGTCTGGAATTCGCTGCCATTGGGGGAAGCTTTTGCAAGTGACTTTGCATGGATGTGTCACGTGGATTTGCATGACAATGACATGTCGCGCAAGAAACGTGATGCATTGATCCGCAGATTGCTGCGCAGTTCCATTGGGATTAGCGTTTGGAGAGTCGTGTTTTCGGGGTGTTGGATGTGGCCGTGCCATTGGGATTTGCGTTTCAGGGTGTGGCATGGAAGCTCGGTTTTCGTGACAAGTCTCAGCTGAAATGGCGATTTTGGTGGATGGGAGTGTGCTCAGAACGGGTCGAAATCATTCCAAACGTGTGGTGTGGTGCAAATTTTGTTGAAGCTCACATGAGATGATATTGTCACATATTGTCACTTTTCGTGGCAGGCGCAGGACTTTGTGCGGGTTTTGAGGCGTGGAAGTGCGATTCTCGTGGCAGGCACAGGGAATCGTGAGGTTGCGAGGTGTGACGGAGGTGACATTTCGTGGCAGGCGCAGTACTTTGTACGCGTTAGATGTGTGGACGCGGCAAGATTCGTGGCAGGTGCAGGGAATCGTGAGGTTGTGAGTTGTGGTAGAGGTGAATGTCGCTGTCACATTGGGATTGGCGTGTGAGCGGATGTTGTTTGGAGGGGCTGGAATCGCGAAACTGCTTGGCAGGGCTGCGTGATGTGTGTGCTCCGATGGGTGTTTCCGCTGGAGGAAGCCTCGTACGAAACGCTCGTTTTGCAGACTTTGACGTGTGAGTTTTTGAGGACGTCTCGTACGAAACGCTCGTTTTGGAGACTTGACGCGTGACATTTTGAGGACGTCTCGTACGAAACGCTCGTTTTGGAGACTTGACGTGTGACTTTTGGAGGAAGTCTCGTACGAAGTGCTCGTTTTTGAGACTTGACGCGTGACTTTTGGAGGAAGTCTCATACGAAACGCTCGTCTTGCAGCCTCGCAGGGTGACTTTTGGAGGAAGTCTCGTACGAAGAGTGTGCCCTACAAGAGTGTCCCACAAGACTGTCCTACAAGCGTGTCCCACAAGAGTCTCCTACAAGAGTATCCCACAAGAGTTTCCTACAAGAGTATCCCACAAGAGTGTCCCACAGGAGTGTCCCGCAACAGTGTCCCTTAAGAGTGTCCCACAAGAGTGTCCTACAGGAGTGTCCCACAAGAGTGTCCTACAAGAGTGTC